TACCCGCTGACAAGACCCAATTTCAACTATCCTGAAACTCTTCAGTAAATGGTTGTCAAATGCCAAAATTTTAGCACAGTGTACGAGAAGGTTAAGTCAGATTGTAATTCTGAAAACAGACAAGTGTAACTGATATTGACTTTAATGTTATGATAGAATAATCTTCAAAATAAAATTTCATTTGGTTCTTTCCAAATATTTATGATAAGTATAACCAATACCTGGATGATATTTTCTATATATAAATATTGCCAGTAAAACAAGAATTACAATAACAGCAGATATCCCAATACCAATTCCAATACCAGCTCCTAAACCTTCCTGATATACAGATTGTTCACAAGAAATTGTGTTTGTTCCAGGGTCTGTGGAATAAATTAAATGAATTTGAATTACCGGTATATTAAGTTTACCAAAAACATTCAACTAAAAAATTTCCTCACTACATTCAACTGATACATTTATTCAATACATTCAACTGATAAATATACTCAATACATTCAACTGATAAATATACCCAAAACATTCAACTGATAAATATACTCAATAAATTCAACTGATAAATATACTTAATACATTCGACTGATAAATTAACTAAATGCGTTCAATTTATAAATATACTCAATACATTCAACTGATAAATATACTCAATACATTCAACTGATAAAATTACTTAATACATTCGACTGATAAATTAACTAAATGCGTTCAATTTATAAATATACTCAATACATTCAACTGATAAAGTTACTCAATAAATTCAACTGATAAATATACTCAATACATTCGACTGATAAATTAACTAAATGCGTTCAATTTGTAAATTTACTTCATCCATTCATGTGATAAATTTACTCTATACATTCAACTGGTACATTTATTCAATACATTCAACTGATAAATATACTCAATACATTCAACTGATAAATATACCCAAAACATTCAACTGATAAATATACTCAATAAATTCAACTGATAAATATACTTAATACATTCGACTGATAAATTAACTAAATGCGTTCAATTTATAAATATACTCAATACATTCAACTGATAAATATACTCAATACATTCAACTGATAAAATTACTTAATACATTCGACTGATAAATTAACTAAATGCGTTCAATTTATAAATATACTCAATACATTCAACTGATAAAGTTACTCAATAAATTCAACTGATAAATATACTCAATACATTCGACTGATAAATTAACTAAATGCGTTCAATTTGTAAATTTACTTCATCCATTCATGTGATAAATTTACTCTATACATTCAACTGGTGAATTTATTGAATTCATTCAACTTATGAATTTACTCAATACATTTAATTGTATTCATTAGATAATGACAATTTTGCATACTACCCCTTTAACATATATTTAATTTCATTTAAATACTCTCATTAAAATCATATCAAATATTAATAAGTATAAGATATTCACTAATTGGATTATGATGAAGAACGTTAAATATTCATGAAATCATTGTCAAATTATACAAATAAATTACCGAGTTCAATGATTTTTATTCCCCAGGTTTTTGCTTTAGTTTCACCATTAATAATATTTTGTACAGTAATTATATAATAGCCAAACGATGATTGGTCTAATATCAATTCTAATGTGGATATAAAATTATTTTCAGAAACTTTCTCTGTTTTAGCAAAGGGGTATTCTACATCAGACATCAACTGCTTCCATGTAAAACTTGGTTCAGGATAAGCTTCTATATTTATTTCTAATAATACCATTTCTCCAATTTTTCCTCTTATTTCTTTCTTCAGTTCTTCTTTAAGTATTGGTGGACCTTTTATAGTAAATGTAAAAC